GAGGGCCCCCAGGGCTCTGAAATTACTGAAAATCACCCGTCCTGTTTTTGGTTCACGACGCGCATGTCTGGGATCCTTGCGCGCGCAAGGAGGGCCTGCAAAGAAAATCAACGTTTACCCCGGCTTACATCTTGCACGTCCCTGCCTGGCCTTTCCTGGGCGCCAGGCTCAGGCACGAAATTGTCACAAACAACTCTTCTTGGTGTGCCGACTCCTGCCCGGACCAGCGACCGTCTCGCTGGCCACAACAGGAAGAGCAGTGATGCGCTGGCAGTGCCTCTGGCGGGCGTGGCTTCTGTCCAGAGATGGCATCAGAGGGCGGTTGGCCCAGTTCTTGCCCCTTCCCCTCCCCCTCCCTCGCCCTGGGGGGTCGGGCACAGCTCTTGTTTCCTCCAGGCTCTCCTCATTCAAGATCCCTGCCTTCAGGAAACCCGCGGCCAGGAGCTCCGGCCTCGACTCCATGGACGAGCGACGATCAAAAACGGGTCTTACGCGAGATGACGTAGCGACCCTACGCGGTGGCTTGCGCGCGCCGCCAGCGCGACACGCCACATTGAAGACGAGGGCGCTTACGCGCGACCTTCCGCGGGCAGCTTACGCGCCAATGTCGGCGCAGTCGAACCAATTTTCTTTCGTCGCTCAGATGCTCCTGGACATCGGCTTCTACTTACTCCCCTCCTCCAGCGGGAATTATCATGGGCCTCTGCCCCTCTGGTGGTAATCATCATAAGGCTCCACCACTCGACAGCTGCCATCACAAGGGGCTACCGGGGCCCCGCTCCCAGCAGGACACCCATCCACCGTGCCGCCAATATAGGCACCGCAGGGAGCCGAGGCCCTCCCCAGGGTCCCTCGGCCAGCGAAGACGACCGTAGGGAGGGGCGCCAACGAGCCTCCAAAACTCCAGCCCGGATACCTGAAGGCGCCAATTTCCACCACCCAGTGCTTCTCTCCCCCCCCCCTCACCCGAAAACGCCAGAACGACTGGTTCTGGGGAAGCCTCTGCGCGACCACCAGTGGAGAGCCAAGGAGTCAAGTTGTCGTCCCGTCTCCCCTGCCCCGCCCCTCTTGTCCTGAGTAGATGTTTGACGGTCCTGGAGAAGGCCCCGCGAAACCCAAAACGGGCGAACGACCTGCAGAACTTGTTGCAATCCCTTGGATGACCACGAGAGGGGCCAAGGGGAGAAGGAGGTTACGAAGCACCCCGCAAAAATGCGGAGAATAATGAGGGGGCGGGCGGGTGGTTCGCGGGGTGGGTCGCGGATGGGCGGCGGGTCGGTTGCGGGTGGGTCGCGGGTGGGTCGCGGAGTGGGTCGCGGGTGCGACGCGGGGTGGGTCGCGGGCGAGGACGACGACAACAACATCAAACAACAACAACATAAACATAAACATAAACAACAACAACAACAACAACAACAACCACCACAACAACAACATAAACATAAACATAAACATAAACATAAACAACAACAACAACAACAACAACAACAACAGCAGCAACAACAACAACGACAACGACAACAACAACACACAACAACAACAACAAGAACAACAACAACAACAGCAGCAGCAACAACAACAACAACAAGCACAATCCGCGCAGCATACTCATAATTCAGCCACGCACCCAGGGACAACAATGACCGTTCGCATCGCACCCCCACTCTGGCAAGCGGATGCCACGATGGCTGTTGTTTTATATTTAGGCATATATAATGAACTGTGTAAGTATACTATGAATGTATGTGTACATATATATATATATATGCACTAGCTTTGTATATGCTATATAATTGGGTAAGAGAAATGTGTACCAACTGGCTCAAGATCTGCACTCAGCGGGCTGTTGCTCCCACATATCGGAAGTATCGAACCTACCCAAGCCACCCAGGGCACACGCAATCACTCATAAGCCAGGCTACTCCATATATAGCCCACCTTAGCATCCACTTTTCTGAGTGAGGGGCTGAACGGCCATTCACTATCACTGGGTGCGTGGCTGAAGTGGGCTTCCGCGCTGCGAATTGATTGTTGCTAATGCTTGTGTTGTTCCTGTTGTTGAATTATCATTTCTAAGAGATAAATATTGTTGATCCCCGGGTGAGCATTGCATGTTTAAATTTTCGGGCTCCTTCCGGGGCTCGCATCCCGTTCTTGACAAGGGACAGTGTCGGGTCACCAAACTGAGACACTGGCCCACGGTTTACAACCACAGCGTCTCCCGCCTGATACTTCCTCACAATGTATTCCCAAATCGCGCTCTCGCGCGAGACGTTCTCACAATGTATGCAGGAATCGCGCTCTCGTGTGGGAATTCCTAACAATGTATTCAGTCGCCGCGCCCTCGACACTCAAGAATCACGCTCTCGCTCTGGATTTTCTTCCGGTTTTGGGAATCGCGCTATCGCTCGGGACTGCCCCGAGTCATGCAATACTCACGCTTCAGCAACCCGCCTGCTCGACCTGGCCGCCTGGGCCCGCCTTCCCGACCCGCTCGTTAGGGTCTACCCGTCCGATGTGCCCGTCTGGTTCTGCCATGCGTGTTCTGCTCCTGACCCCCTCTCCTACCCTACCACTCTCTCTCTCCTGCTCCATCCTCCTCTCTCCTCCGTGTCCCTTTCTTCCATCCGTCCTCTCTTCCCCTGTCTTGGGGGCTGCGCGAAATACACGTTGCAGGTAGGAAAGATATGTACCCCCAAAGGGGTACGATCGAAGACGAAAGGGTCGGGTATCGAGAGTTTGGGAGATACGTGCTAAATGGCACGTGAGCAGATACGAGCGAACAGTCTTGATATGTCTGTTGTTGTACTTGTTGGTGCTGTTGGTGTTGTTGTGGTTGTGGTGTTGGTCGTGATTGTGATTGTGGTTGTTGATATTGTTGATGTTGATGTTATTGGTGTTGTTGTCGTCGTCGGCGTCGTCGTCGTTGTTGTTGTGCTTGTTGTTTGTAGCTTGTTGTGTGTTGTTTGATGTGTGGTGTCTGTTGTCGTCGTCCCGCCCGCGACCCACCCGCGGCCCACCCGCGACCCACCCGCGACCCACCCGCGACCCACCCGCGACCCACCTGCAACACACCCGCAAGCCAAGACCCGCCCGCGACTCGCCCACGACCCACCCGCAACCCACCTCGCGCCCGCCGCCCCACTCTTATCCGCAAATGCGGGGTGCTACATAACCCCCATATCTCCTTAGCACCCCCCGCGGTGATCGCATCAAGGCCTCTTTCCTCCAACCATCCGGCCTAATCCGTGGGAGGCATGTCTCCCCCCTCTCCCGACGCGCCTTGTCCACCGACGCTCCCTGGACCTCCCCCCTAGGGTGATTTCCGACCAGAACTTCGAAGAGAGTCCAGCGATGGCGACGAGCACTGCCAGGATGAGCAGCGGCATCTGGGGAAACTTACAGATACGGAAACCGCTACTCCCCATGTCTCTCTAGGGGCGAGATCTGACCAAAACTCCGAGGCGAATCCAGCCGTGGCGACGAGGGCCTCCGAGGAGGCTCACAAAGGTGAAAGCGACGGAAAGGTAGCAAAACCTGTACCTTTCCATCCTCTGAAGAAACGGTAAACTTTCTTCCTCTGCCCCTCCCCACCCATAATTTGTCGGGAGCGGCCAAGAGGGGGGTGTCCAAGAGGGGGGGTGCAAATCATGACCGGCGGCATGTGCGCGGCCCAGCGGGGGGGCCAGGGACGTAATGAAATAAGAAGGGGCGCCATGAAATCTGGGGAAATATCATGGCCCCCGCCATGATATCCACCCCCCCCTAGTCCTCCCCCCCCTCTTTTCCGCCCCTGAATTTGTTTCACAACGTGGACCTCCAGAGGTGTGGACCCCCTCTCCCCGGGACCTGCTTCTCACCCTGGGTCGTTTCTTGACGGTCCCAGGGCCTAGTGGGGGCCCCAAGCGGCCGAACAGGAGCAGAATCTCTCCCTCGAGTGATGTTTTCGTAAAAAGATGACGTCTAGGTTCGGAGGCCTGGATGAATATCGTCGTGTGTTGGCGGGACTGGGTTTAATTCATGGGGCCTGGCTTCATGATGTGTACCAGGAGACGCTCCCCCCCGCCCCATTCCACGAACTGGAACTGCCACCACCAGAAGAAGTACAAACTGGAACTGCCGCCACCAGAAGAAATACAATCTGCGGCAACCTTGGTTTAATAATCCTGGCGTTTCCAACTACCGGCTCCCCTCACCCGGGACCCTGGTTACACCCGATATCGGTTCCTCATCCCAGACCCCCGACGTCATTTGTTGTCATCACATCGACTCCCAAACGTCTCGACCCACTCCCCGGGAGCCGTTCTTCCTCCCACGGCGTTCTCTGACGGCCCCGAGGCCAGGTAAGGAAACCTGTCGTCGTGATTATATCATTCTTCCCCGAATGACAGAATCACGACAGTCAAAT